ATGTTTGTTTTTCTGAGTCTGGTTTACCTCACTCAGGATGATTTTTTTCTAGATTCATCCATTTGCCTGCAAACCTCCTGATGTCATTGTTTTTCTCTGCTGAGTAGTACTCCATTGTGTATATGTACCACATTTTATTTATCCATTCTTCAGCTGAAAGGCATCTAGGTTGTTTCCAGGTTCAGGCTATTACAAACAATGGTGCTATGATCATCGCTGAGCATATGCCTTTGTGTTATGATTGAGCATTCCTTGGGAATATGCCCAAGGGTGGTATAGCTGGGTCTTTGGGGAGATTGATTCCCAATTTTCTAAGAAAGCACCATATTGATTTCAAAAGTGGCTCACCTCTGCCTTCCTTTGTCTCTAGACTGGAGAGTCCACAGCTCTGGTTCTGTCCTTTTTGCACCTTAGCAAGCATCTCTTTGACTTGTGTCACTTGCACTTAGTTTTGCTAAGTATGAAAGAGACTATCCACTCCTCCCACCGTTGTTTTGGAGCCTCAGGAGCCTCTAGGTAGAGGAGCAAACTGTGCTGTGGTGGTGCCATTCCAGTTCTCTGGAGGCAGAGTAGGCAGATCTCTCTGATCTCAAGGCCAGTCTGGTCTACAGAGAATTCCAGGGCAGATAGGACTGTTAGGCAGAAAAACCCTGTTTCAAAAACCAACCAAATAAAATAAAGAAAGGAAGGAAGGAAGAAAGAAAAAGGAAAAGGAAAGTAAAAAAGTAAGAAAAGAAAAGTGATTTACACTGCGAGGGGAATGTCATGGAGCCCTGGGCATCTGGGAGATCAGGCCTAGGGTTTACAGATCTGGTTTCTGTGGAAACTGTAGGTAGAAAAAACTCCCCTTGGGTCTCCTGTCCTCTCTCAGAGGGTATTTGTCCACTACTTGCTTATGTTCAGGACAGTTGAGGGACTCCTCTTTCCTTTGAAAGGACATAGATCGCTATTGGTGTTTGGGTTTTCTGAAGTATTTAGATTTTTTAAAATTAGCTACTGTCTTATTTGGCCTTTTGATTGTAGGTGTCATGGCTATTTTGGGCTCTTGGCTATGTCTTCCTGAGTACCTGGGGCCATTTGTCGTGCAGGTTCCTGGAGGCAGGGGTGGCAGAAGGAGACTGTCAGGGCCTTACTCTACAGAGGGTTTTTTCCAGTGGTCTGCACAGCCAGGTCCTAATGGAACATACTCAGCTTAAGGAGCAGGTAGCCCTGCTGAGGCAGGAGAACAACAATCGGACAGAGGATTGGGTCCTGCTGAAGATCCACTTGGAGGCATTGAAATTGATGTGTGAGGACCAAGAGGAAGAGACCAGTGACCTCCAAAACCAGCAACAACAGGTAAGGGCAGGTAGGTGGGTTAGGCTAAGGTCTGGCACCATTTGCCCATTGGATTCTCTGTCTGCCCATCCACTCACCTGTGCTTTCACCCATCACCTTACTCATCCATCCAGCCACGGACCTCATGCCATCTGAGGTGTTCACTTCAGTGTCCATGCACAAGTACTTCTGGAAAGTTAGCCTCTTCTGAGAAACTAAATTATTAGCAAACCATGCCTGCTGCTCTGCTTGAAACTATGGTCCAATGACAGAAATGGTTCAAAAACATATCAAACCTACATGTCATTATGATAGGTAGGATGTTATGCACAGAGCTTTGAATGAGTGAATTGTGGGTCCTGAGGCTCATGTGATTGGCAGGGGTCATGTGAGATCACAGAGGGGGAAGCAGCTTACAAGGAGGAGTATCCCATGTAAATGCCAAATGAGTCCTACTCATAGTCATAGATTTGGGTGGCATGTGGTCTTCTCCTTTCTTCATGAATCCCAATGTGTTCTCTTCCCTTTGACTGACTATTGGTTCACACTGACATAAGCCAGAGTAGCAGCTCATGAGCCCTCTTTTCTGTGAGTGCTCCTTGAGAGCTCTACCATTGTGGAGAATACAATCTGGATTTGATTGGCTGAACAAATGAGGGCTTTTGACAAGCTGAATGCCAGGGTGGGTGCTTTGCTGCTTCTGAAGTATATTCTATAGCCATCTCAATAGAGTCTGGCCAAACAGAGCAAACTTCCCACAGCAGTATTAATCCTAAGGGAATGATGGCAGAGTTGTGAGACTCTTCTGAAAGTGCTGGTGTGCTTCGCCTACTCATCTGTTCTTCTTGCATGATGTTGTATTCTGCTCACTTCTTTTTCTGTGAGTGTAGTATAAGCTCTTTTGGCTTGCCTAATCTACCAGTATGCTATTTTGATCCTTTGTATGTGCTTCATGTGTATGACACTGTGTGCATGCCTGTATACAACTCTCCACTAAGAACACAATGTTCTAATGAACAGGCATTTGAAAGATTGGAGGGAAGCCTACAGGTCCTGATGAAACAGAAGGAGATGATCACCCAGGAAAAGGACTTGGCAGAAAAGCTGCAGCATCACTTTGAGGTCTCCCAAATGAGGTAGGAACCCAGGCTGGGGGAGCAGGTGGAGCCACATGGGTACCTTGTTCTTGGGATCACTTTCATTTATGGGCTCCTGCTCAAATGCATGGCATCCAGCTACAAGAAGGGCAAGAACACTTGAGAGTATTGTTCAGGTTGAGTGTACAAACAATTCTGTCCAGGAATCAATATGTTTAATACTCAGTGTGTCTGAGCAATTTTGTCCTTTCTCCCTTCTGAGTGCTCTGGTATGGCCTGAGCAGGCTTTCCTTATACTCACAGAGATCTGCCTGCTTCTGCCTCCCCGTGATGGAATTCAAAGTTGTGAATCACCAGGCCTTGCTAAAATTACATTTTCACTTAGGAACATCCCCTGTAAAGAAGAGATTCCTACCTTTGAATACTGCTCTGTGCAGCATTTTTCCATTTCCTGGGACAAGTGTTCTCTGGATTGAATAGGTTAAGGATTTTCCAGAATGAACCCAGGCAGATGCCTCAGTTGCACGGTAGATCAGAACCTTTTCAGGAGTGTTCTGTAACAGACTGTCAAGGAGTCTGGATGCAGATTCCTAGCTCTGGTTAAGGAAATCACAAGTTTCTGTTTGATCCCAGAGTCTATCAGGGCCAGTGTTCTCAGGCACACATCTCAGGAAATGCCGCTCTAGGATTACCGACTGATTTCTGTCTTGCATGTTGGTCATGTTCATGGTTCCTCCTGGGCATGAGCCTGAGCTATCTTCATGACCTTGTTTAACCTTGTTTGAGTGTCCAGAATGCAAGACTGCAATATGGCTATCAATAAAATGATGTGCTTTATCAGTAATTCATCATGAATAATGAGTATCACTCCTGTGCTGGTGACTATGTTATTAATAAGTTGTTGCTTCTCCAATATGATGTCCCGAGACTGTGAGAGAAAGACCCATTCTTTCTAGTAGAATAAAAAAACCATTACTCAG